ATACGCATTCAGAACAGCTGGTTTTGCGAACTCGCAAATATCCGTGCGTTCAGAGTGTCGTCGCGTAGGTCCACCGAAACGCACCCGGAGGTCAGCGCAAACAAGTGCATGATCAGAGTCCATGCTCGTGATCCAAATCGATCGACAGTGTTGAAGGCATCCTCTCCAGCGGTAACTGATCGCAATGTGATCGATTTACATCCATGACTGCTCTAAGGCTGGTAGGCGCCATGTCGCCCTCCGGTAGGTGCTGTGTCGGAAGTTAGTGCTCGCAAGAAGGAGACCAGCAGCTTCACACAGGTGTAGCAGCCGCTTATCATTATCATTACAGAAGCCTACACCGTGTTGACCACCCAGATGAAGCTCATCAGTGGACAGCTTCCCAACCTTGGCGTTCAAATCATCAGCAAGTACCACAATATGCATACTGTTTCCGTGACGGACGAGCGCGTTTAATTGGTGAGAAAAGTCGTGTTTCTCCGAGTCAGCGATACAATTTGTGCGCATAGACCCCACTGACAAGCAAGCACCGTTTGGTCCCACGCAACTTCGATGCTTTAAACGAGCCAGCCAAGCTGACAGCGCACCTCCGGCTGTTCATTGGGATCTAGTCGATCGATGCAGATTCAGCCTAGCGGCTAAGAGCAATGCTCACACTGATTTGAGCGGCATTTGAAGCCGCCTCATCGGACAAACGCAATGAAAAAAATACCGCCAGCGTCGCACGCTGGAGATCGCAGGCGAGTTTCTGAAAGCAGCAGACATCGGTTAATAGGGTCTCCAGTGACCAAGCAAGTGCTGTCTGTTGGCCAATTTGCAACAAAGTGCGCATATTGAGGCATGCCAGTCTTAGGGAGGACCGAGGGCTGCAAATAGAGACAGATGAACGAACGTTGTCCGTTTGGCTGGACATAAACTTACCGACTGGACAGGAGCAACGTCCTGCGACTTCGCGTGAGTAGAAATTAGAAGGCGAATGATGACTGAACAAATATAGGAGAGGGCCAAGAATTGGAGAATAGAAAACAGTGGGAATAAAAGTGAAGTTGGAACAGGACGATACATTGGAATACTGATAGCAGGAGAGAGATACCTTGTTCCCTCCATCGGTACCGAATCATCACAAGGTGGGTGCATGCTGTCGGGAAGCGTCACTCCTTCGGAGATCATCACCATTAAAGTAAGAGCAGCAGGATCATGCCATGTGCGTTAGATGGGTGTCTAGCAATAGCTTGAAATCTTCCTGTCTGCGAGTCAATGATGTTTCGGAAGACTGTTCCAATCAGCTACTACTCTGGAAGATAGGGCAGCTTGCTGACGGGTGCGAAGTGTCCTCGGCTTAAATAATTCCCATTTGTGGCCACGCGTCGAGCTGCCCACACTTAGTAAGAGGAATTGCTGCAGCTCACTTCCAAGCTCCACCCTTAGGATGCGTCTGGTGAAGAGATCTCTGCGACGGTAGCGGTATTCCATGGAGAACAGGTTAAAAGACTTAAGTCGAAGAGTGTAAGGAAGATTCCGAAGCTCCGATATAGATTTTGAAGCGTGCCTCTGCACGTTCTCTAGCAGATCACGTTCAGAGCTCGTTGGAGGAAAAACGGCTGGGAGACCATTTGCTAGCATCGGACGGACGTGCAAAGCGAACAGCATTCTAAAAACCTCCGGCGTAATTTTACAGAATGATTTTCGCAAAGCCCAGAGCATCCGGATGGCTGCTGCGACTTTCTTCTGCGTGTCAAGTGAGGTCTTGAGAACGTGCGAGACGATGACTACCAGTTCATTCTCCTGTACGACAGACTTGAAGAGATATCCTCCGGTAGGATACGCACCGAAAGGATCCGGGCCAACAAGCGGGAGAACGGCACATTTGTCACGGTTTCTCGGGAGCCGCCACTCAACGGACCAGTTATGCAGCTGGTCAAGCGAAGGTTGGAGCCTGTCGGCATCCTGGAAGCAAGATATTTTAGACCACAGATTGTGGTCATTAGCCTAGACTAGACAGTCGGTTTGAAGTGTCGCTAAGAGATCGTTGATGTACAGTTTAAAGACCTCTGGTCCAAGGACGAAACCTTTGGGAACCCCACTGGTCATAAGCATAGAGACAAACAGTGGTTCACCTCCACTTGAATGGTTTGTGTTTCTAGGAAGTCTGAAATCCAGGTTTCCGGTGACACCAACTCAGTGAAGTTTGAGCAGAAGCCGTTTATGTGGCGCCTTGTCAACTGCCTTGCTGAAGTCAATGAAGACGACATTAAGATATTTCCTGTCGCCTGTTGCTCTAACGCATGCTTCTTTGGCAACGAGCAGGTTAGTGATACAGGATCGTGCCATGCGGAACCCGTGCCGTGAGGGGTAGATTGCGCATAAGCTTACCCAGTGAGCGTTGAGAGCGTGCTTGATTATTCTCTCTATTATTTGGCAGACAACAGACGTCAGACATATCGGCCGGTAGTTCGCAGGGTCCTGCCGTTCACTTCCCTGATATTTAGGCATTACTATTCCTACTTTGCAAGCGCTAGTTAAGCAGCCCTCTGCAAATGATAGCCGGCATACTTGGGACATTGGGTCGGCGATGCACTGTGCCAACTTCTTGAGGAATAGTGGGTGTGGTCCGTCAGGGACTGGTGCGGAAGTAGGATTCAACTCACGGATTAGTCGCACGATCATGTTGACGGTTATTTCAACGTGCTCCAGAGTTGAGGAGCACGTGGGCACGTCGTTCTTGGGCAACGGTGGCTCTACCGCGAAGACAGATGAGTATTGAGGGGCCAGTAGATTGACTTTCTCATTACCGTGATGTAGTGCAGTGCCTTCTCCAGGGGCAGAGAGAGAAGGGATACCAACTCCCGCTTTGGTGTTTCGTCTTATATATGAGAAGAGCATCTTCGGGCACGTTCGGGATTGCACAGCCAAGTATTGTTCGTAGTGAGCTCGCTTCTGCCACTTTTCCAGGGTGCACAAGTTTCGAACCTCTTTGTACTTTAGGTAATTCGAGTCTAGTTCTGTACTTCTGAATACGGTCCAGTTTACGCCGTCTGTTCAATAAGGACCTCTGTTCTCTATCGATGCAGGGGGTTCTTTGTGGAATGGTCTGCCTTTGTACATCGGGTCGGATTTTTCGATGATGGACGTCATCTTGGTCAGCAGTGGGCTTCATGCTTCTTTGATACTCATGGACTGTGGGATACTCCAAGCTTCCGAGCTTGCCACAGCGTGTTATCTGGATGGATCAGTACACCAAAAATAACAGCGATATGCTCCGCGGTCAGTGATGGCAAGACGTCGAGTCCACAAAAAGAGACTACTGAGTGTTCGCTTCGGTTGTGTGGTAGAAGAGTCTCCAAGTCAGAGACGCCAGTTGGCATCGGAGTGAAAAGTAGACCAAAGATGTGGGATGTCTGGCTCGGAAGCATCCGCGTAAGAGTAGAGCTGTGCTGAATAAGATTGCATTCCTGAACAGCGTCGAGAAGCCCCCTCACGAAGGAATCTTGCGGAAGGTCGCAATGTAAAAGGTTCCAATTGATACTGGGTGAATTGAAGTCACCCATTAGCAGTGTTTCTGCCTCTACCATTGGTTTTCACTAAGTCCAGGAGACAAGAGCCTGAGTCCGAGGGAACTGTGTAGGCAAATCCAATCTTCACTGCTTGGTGGCCATCACGGATTCGGCACCAAAGCATAGCTGAAGCAGCGTTATTGTCTGAGAACGCTTCAAGGATGTGAACTTTGAAGCAGTCTATTAAAAAGAGTAACTCCCCCTCCGGACCTTCCAGCTGTATGACCAGCTCGTGAAAGTTGATATCCTGGCATGTTAATTGATGTATCCAAGACCACTGAGAAAAGCCAAGTCTGTGTAAAAGCCAATAGATCCGGATGATGTTCAGAGATGAGAAGTGGCATCTCAGGAAGTTGCTTTCTGAGGCATCGCGCATTGGTAAACACTAGGCTAAGACATCTGCTTGTGCCTGCTGGCTGCGTAGCAATAAAATTGGCAGCCAGTGCGACCTCGATATTCTCTTCACTTCGCGAATATCCACAACATGGAGACCAGTTGTATAATCAGCTTTACGCGTGCGTATTTCATTAACAGCTTGTTTTATTTTAATCCTATGTTCCCGACGGGTCTCTCAGGACAGAGAATGCTTCACCCATAACGCGCGCATTACGCCTGAGAATGCGGCGGCATTCCTCTTCACCTAGACAGATGACGTAGGAGGCGGAACTTCCTAGGATGTTCCTGCTTTCTACCCAGGCGGAAGGCTGAGACGATCTTGATGCCCTGCACCCCTTTGTCGGATAAAATGAATACCATTCGATGAGGACTGCCCGGTCGCCAAGAATCCTTTCAACTGGGGTCAAATTGTCAGATTCCGGAACATTTGTAATAATCTGTTTCCTTTCCGTTTCTATGGATTTAATGCAACCGGTTTCCCGGTTATCGATTTCGCAAGTTAAGGATGAAAAACCCTAAGAAAAGAATGAGATGACTGAAAGGGTTTATCAGTAAAACCAAAAAGCCTATCAACCGTGTGCGATCCAGCGGCTTATTCTCTGCAGAGACCACAGCATCAAGTGATTATTAGGAAGTGAAATGTGTTCTATTGCGTGGCAGGCTACTGTCAGATTGCCCGTGCCTGGACAAAAGAACAAGTCTGTCCATTAGCTGAAGCATTTGGTTCAAAAAACTGGACGGCAGAGCAGCGAGGTTTTGGCATTGGACTACAGTGAGCCCGTTTTCCGGAGTAAGGGGCGACCCTCACTCTAACCCAACAACTGAACGGCCACCAGACTGTTTGTCAGGCCTCTAGGCACTGGTCAATCTGAAGGTGCAGAAACACCACCCAGCACAGCCCAATGGGTCGCTAAGGCACGCAAACCATCACACTGTGTCAAGGTCCTGTCTTGTCACGATGGACTGTTGGTAAATAATAATAACTGTTTTGCATGACTCTATGAAACACTCCAGCTGAATGCAAAAGCGACAGATAAGGGCACGACTCACCTTGGCACTGCATTTGACCCTGATTTTTCAGCATCCCATGAGGCGGACATTTTCATAGAAATTAGAGCCGACATGGAATCGAGCAACCCAAAATGGATGGTATCTCACGAGCCCCTGAAGCGTCAGAAGAAGAAACACACGGAAGCCCAAATGAATTTGGGACAAGTCGACAGTGTAAACACAGTATGCTCTCTAGTTCATTGAAGCGAAGCACCAACAAGTTTACTGTCTTCAGTAAATAGGAGCATAGCTACAATTATTAAGCAACTTGTCGAAGGACTTCGAATGCTGCGAAAACAAATACAGCGACTAACTTAAGAAAGTACAGTCCGTTCACAAGCGAGCTGTGTTTGAGCTCAGCATCCATCAAGGCTAATGCAGAACACACTGTTCAAGGTCGAGGTCAAACTCCAAGGACCCGTTCATTGGATCAGTTCACTTCAGTTCAGATGGGACTGGAACAATAGGAGAATCAGGTGAGTGTCTCAGCTTCAGTGGATCGTTGAGCCAGGAATTGATGAAGTGCTCAGTTTTTGACGAATTTAAAACGGAACACCCATATCGCACCCTGGCCAACCAGTTAATGCCCACGTTTCCTGTCCTAGCAGTCCCTGCTGTCTCAGTCACATGAAGTAAGCAAAGGAGAGGAAGAGAAATCGAAGGTATGGAATAAGGAACTGCACTTAAATAAGCAAACAATACCAATGTGTGAAGAAAATTAGAGAAAAGAAAGTGGAATTACGGAAATGCAATTTAATCAAGGAAGGAGAAAGTTCATTGGTTCATTGGTTCATTGGTTAGTAGAGAGCAGAAGGAAGTTCCTTTGTCAGCTCCGTCACTTCCCGGACATTGGGAGGGTTGCTGGGATCATTGCGGAACAAGGTTCAACAGAAGATCGCTATGGATGTGTTGTGGGCATCAGAATACCTGCGCACTCAGAGAGTGGGTATCCAACCGTCGTTTGAAACATTCCTCAGTCTCCGCATTGACGACAGCTTCTGGCAAGCTGTTCCAGTCATTCACTACCCGGGTGGATAGGGTCAGATCGGACCGTACACGGAGTCGCCGCGGTTTGAAAAGTTTCCACCGGTGGCCTGGAGTTGCACAATTTGTGTTTAGACAAAAGAACGATTGCAGGTTTCGTGTTGCCATCCAAAAGCGTCAAGTTGCCACTCAAACCCCTTAACCGTAGATTCCCTGATAACACTTTCCGGAAGCATGTTCCAGCGTTCGATGACTCGGCGTGACAGCCGGATTTCCGCCCTAGTCCGATCGGACCGCGGTTTGTCCAGCTTCAACTAATAGCCGCGTAGAACAGACAGTCTAGCGGGACGGAATATCCAAGGTAAATCTGGACCAACTTTCCCAGTTAAGATGCCATAGATTAGGATTAGGTCTGCTCCATGCCTTCGGTAGTGCATTGAATGCATTCTCAAATTAAGTGGACGCTCGGGGTACATCCGTCCCCGTAATCTCTCGACTGACCAAGTACCCACTAGTAAAACCCTCTCTAGCTCCATTTTTCCCTGACGAGGCAGGGCGGACATGCCTGGAAGCAGTATTCCAGGTGAGGCCGAACGAAAGCCGAGAACGGCCTCGTAAAGACGCCGCCTGCCAAGACTCCGGAGGAACGTCGTATTAACCACAACCTGTGGAAAACTCTGCTTGCGGACTTCTTCCAGTTGTCGCCGGAGTGTAAAGCCGAAGAGTGTACGACTCCTAAGTCAATCTGGCTAGATACACGGGGTAGTTCGACCCCACGAACTAAGTACATCGTACGACGACAACCTCCTCCAATTCGAAGACGGAGCATTTTGCTTGATTAATAGGCAGTTATCATAATGTAGACCAATACCAAAACTTATTCAATGCTCACTGAATAGCTTCGGAACCCCCAGGAACATCAACAATGTTCCACAGCTTCAGGTCATCAACAAATAGCAGCGATGGTACCTCAAGCTCCGCGAGTAGGTTATTCACATGGATAGAGGACAGCGGCGGTCCAAGGACCGAGCCCTGCAGCACGCCACTGAGGATAGACTGCCTAAACGATAGGCCCCGGCCAACCTGTACACACTGTTCTCTACCCACCAAGAAGGCAGTCACCCAATAAAGAGCTCGGTCTGATAACCCGTAGGAGGACCGCATTTGCGCGAGCCTCCAATGGGGTACCTTGTCAAATGCCTTCGAAAAGTCGACCAAAAGCAAGTCCAGCGCGTGGCCGTTATCCACTGCATCCGCCCAACTTTCGCGAGCCACCTGTAGATTCGTCAGACACTAAAATCCCTTCCGGAATCCGTGTTGCACATTGCTAATTATAGTAAATCTACTCAGATGACTCTCCAATGAATGTCACTCCAGTTTCTCGAGGCGTTTGACCATTACACTCGTCAGACTAACTGACCTGTAATTTGAGGGCAGACTCCTGTTCCCAGTTTTGAAGATGGGACTGATGACAGTTTCCTTCCATTTGGCAGGTAATGCACAGCTGTCAAGCGATTTCTGGAACACAATAGTGAGCGGTCCACTTAGTTCCGAAGCCAACTCATGCAACAGTTTCGGGTGAATTAAATCAGGCCCAGAGGCCTTAGAAGGGTTCAGCCCTTGTAACAGCCTACGAACTTCCGTCTCCGCTTCAATAAATTCAGATAGTTCTGAACCCTCTGGGGTCCTGCAAACCAGCTCAACGCCTGTCACAAAGGTTTCTCTTACAAACGCTGTCGCATATTGCCCAATGAGTACGCAGGCCTTGTCATAGCCCGTATGCGTATGAGTACCGTCAGCACGCATCAATACTGGAATTGACATGTTCGAACCGCTGCGCCTCTTGACCTAAGCGAAGAATCTTTTTGGATTCTCTGAAGCTTCATCCGCTAACCCTTTCCCGAAATTGAGCCGAGCATCCCTTAAGTGTTGCTTACACCTATTTCTAGCCTTACGGTACCTGACATAAGTATCGGTGGACGAAGCATCTCAGTAAGTCCGCCAAAATCTAGCCGTCTTTGTGAGCAGAAGCCTGCCAGTGGGATCGATCCAGGGCGGCTGTGTTCGTGCCTCCTTTCTCCTTGTGACTGGGATGAAGGGGCAGAGACCTCTGTGAGGTAGAACTTAAATTTATCCAAGGCAACCTCGACACTATCGTCTTCTGAGATCTCACAATGTAAACCCGAAGTCTTGACTCTCATGAATTGATAGGCTGCGTGCCATATGTTCGGGCGAGACTCAACAGTACCCTGGTAGCTCCTAGACCGAGTACAACTGAAGAGCAAACACAAACTGATCACTGGAACCCAGTGGATGTCCGTAAGTAACGTCATCAACAAAATCGAGTGACTTAGCAAATACAAGGTCTAAGATACACGGCACTTGAGCGTCCATGTACCTAGTGGGGATGTCAATGAACTGGTGCAAAGCTACTTGGAGCGTAAGCTCAAGCAGATCAGCGCCGAATGTGCCTGGCGCTGAGTCGCAAGAAAGATCTGCCCAGTAAATCTATGGGAGGTTGAAGTCGCCCATCACCAAACACTTATTTGCAGACTGGGAGCGTATGAATTCACGTACCTCTTTGGATACGCTCCCGGGGCTTCTATACACAATTACAACTGTAACCTGAGCCGAGGATGTGCTACTAACAGCCGACAGAGCTTCAAAAGTTTCGTCTGCTGACTGAAATAAGCAAGTCTTCAAAACGTCAAGTCGACAGCTCACATAAAGAGCGACGCCCCCTCCCTGTCGGCCAGCAGAGCGATTGCCTCTAAAAGGTGCGTAGTCAGGTAGATGTACTCACCATCCGTGATGTCCTGAGCTCGCCACGTTTCAGTGAATGCGAGTATATCGGGATGAGACCCATCTACAAGCAGATCTAACTTGTACACCTTGTTCCTTAGGCTGCGCACATTACTTAACACTATCTGAAGGTATTCGTCATATCCAGACCTGGGTCGTGCGCTACCAGAATGGGCAGTAGTAGGGCGGAAAAAGACCGCCGGCTGACCACCGGAAAACCCACTAACCGGAGACCCTGTTCACCGGCCGTATTTTTAAACATAGGGCGGTGGCCGAGCCGTAGCTCTTGATATTCACCACTCATTGAGCCTAGTACCGTTATGTTTACAGTACACCCCGTCCCCACAACAGGGGCAGGCAGCCATAGGCCGCATGCATGTCGCGGGTATCAGACAGGTAGGCACCCTGGTCAACGTGCGCTGTGCGTAGCGGACAAGTCCACAGGCACAGCCGAAAAGAGTCAGTGACTCGTACTGGTAATAATGTCAGCCACCAGCTGATCATTTGGATTCGTGAATGCTGCATGAACCACTGTTCAGCATACTGTACATCCCAGAGGGAAACAACAGCAGGGCGGTGGCCGGGCCGTAGCCCTTGATATTCACCACTCATTGAGCCTAGTACCGTTATGTTTACAGTACACCCCGTCCCCACAACAGGGGCAGGCAGCCATAGGCCGCATGCATGTCGCGGGTATCAGACAGGTAGGCACCCTGGTCAACGTGCGCTGTGCGTAGCGGACAAGTCCGCAGGCATAGCAAAATAGATGACGAGTAAGTAGACTCGTACTGGTAATAATGTCAGCCACCAGCTGATCATTACATGACGTAGAAAGCAGAAGCCACTTTGATCAATTGATCCTTGGATGTTAGAGAGCAGAAGGAAGATCCCTTTGGTAAGGCCTTCACTTCCTTACCATTGCGGGGCTGGCGTACTTTATTACAGCACAATTTTCAGCAGAGGACCACCGTAGCTTCCTTAGAGGCAACGGAATTCCAGCAGACTTAGATGAGGAGCCCACAGTAGTTTGAAACCTTCTCTGTCTCAGCATCAACGGTAAGCTCCGGCAACCAGGTTCGATCATTCACCTTGCCAGCTGTTAAGGCCGGATTACGTCACGCACAGAGATTCCTTGGTGTGAACAGTTTCAAGCGGCGGCCTCGTGTTGAACTATCCACGTTGAGTTGAAAGAATTCCTGTAACTCGCAACCCAGTTCTCCTCTGAGCATACGTCATGAATGTCAAATCACCACTTTGCGGGCGGTAACATGGAGAAAACGAGTCCAGC